CTACAAGAAGAACAACATAGAAGAAGAATAAAATGTACACCATAGTTTATGTTCTTTGTTTGGAGAGAGATAAAAGCCTTGGCAAAGTTCATAGCGTCAGCAGAGACCAAACGAGTGAGTTTATTTACATCAAAATGGATCGGCATACGGGCCTAAATGTGGTTTTCTGCTCTAAATTCATCTAACGTCTCTTCATTTCGGTAATGCCATCCAAATAAAAGGATTTGTTAAGCCCATAAAAATTCGCATTTTTCTATCGACGCCTTTTAAATTTAAATTTTAATGTGTTGCTTTTACAAAGTTATCCACAATGCAGTGTACACATTTTTTTGTTCACTTGCATATCCTTCGTTTGCTGCTGACGACGGGCTGAACTAAACTAGTCAAGCACGCGCGCACGCACACTTTCCAGCACGCGTGCAGGCAATTTAATATACATATATGTAGCTACAAGCACCAGTGCTGCCACTTTATGAGTAATTCCTCAAAACGTGAGGAATTTCGGGTGCGCTTGAGTATTTTTTGAGGATTTTTATTTTGAGGAATTTTTGAGGAATTTTCTCTCGATATATTTGCAGTTAACAAATGCAATCATGCGAAGCTTTATAAAGAGCGAAATACACTAAACAAGCGGCTTGTCAAACATTCTTCAAACCTACTTTTCCCATTTCGCCATACACCATGCAAACATGACTCGTTCAAGCAAAAATTTTAGTTTTCTTCCGGTTCACAATGTAAAAGGGTTTGGTTTTCTTCGATTTTTCTCTCTTGTGTCCTCATTCGGTCAAAATTCCGTTGCGAATGGGGCGATTTTATCATACACAACGTAAGCGGTTTGATCAAACGTCAACATGGCGGCCAGAAAATCAAAAAAATTTCCCTCAAACGGCTTGTCAAACCTTCAAACACAACATAATAGCTTTAAGGAAAGGGATATTTCTGTTGGTTTGTGAATTGAATTGGAGAATGTAATTAATTTTTACACTAAGTACCTGTAAATAGTAAGCAGTACACAATACTCATATCTGTAATAAGAACATTTTTAGTAATTTGTTCGGATTTTTGTAGATTTTTTATTTTATTTTTTTTGAGGAATTTGGTAATTTTTTTGTGGCAACACTGAAGCATACGTAACATTACAACCATACGTACGTACATTAAAAGAAAAAGTTCGCCGGATACTCTGTGTCTAAAGTATTTTTGCAAGGCGATTTCGAAAAAAAAAATTTTTGATCGAACCTGGGCGAAATGTAGCGTCTCCGATTTTAAGGCACTAAAAACTTGAAAAAGCCAAAATGAGCTTTGAAAAAAAGCAAAAAAAGGCATTTATTTTTTAATTTTGTTATGTACAATGTGTATGTATGTATAAAAAAATACATACAGTGGTCCAAAAATTATAGCCGGACCACTTTTTGCCACGTTTTAACGTATTACTTTTTGTTCTTATTTAAATTTGGTTATTTTTTTATAAAACTATAGTTCATGCTTTAACAAAACTCGTGTAAATCCAAGTTTCCCACTTTATGCAATATTCTTTGGCGGTAATAAATAAGTGAAAATCAAAATGAAAGCTGAAAAAGCACAAAAAAGCATACGTTACTTGCAAATTATAAAAAAAAAGTATAAATTTTAACAATTTCAGCACGAAAACGGAAAATACAGCTTTTGCACGGGCGTTTGTTTGGTCTTTCAACTGCCAAAATTTTACTTTGCATTAGGCACAGCAAATTTGAATTTATTCGTACACCATAGAAAATTGTTCCACCCCGTCTCACCACGGAGAAAAAAGTTACCGATTGGCACACAGCATTAGCCGTGGATTTTCACGGAAATATAACAAGCGGCCTTAGGCCTTTTAAAAATTCGCAAATGAACTCCAGTGTTGTAATGAAAATGAGGAGATAAATATAAAAAAAAACAAAACATGCAAAAAATGCAGAAAAAGGAAAAATTAAAATTTAAATTTTTAATAAAGGAATACGTGAAACGTGTGATTCTTTTATTTTTATAAAGATACGACCAAGCAGACAAAACAGGCAAATGCCTTAAAATCATAACCCTGTTAATAACTATTCCTCATGGGAAAGTAATTAGGTTTTACACTTCACTGACGTGTTAAAAATGCAGCAGGTGCGCCACTTTTGAAGAAATAGAGTTTTTATATATTTTATAAGGAAATAATGAAAGAGTTGATTAAAAATATAAAAAAAATCTTAGAAAACACTAAAATATTAAACGTATCCCAAACCCACAAAATTTAAACGCTATCTTCGAGTCTAGTCTGTAGAAAATATGTCTATGTATTAGAGTGGTTCAAAAAACACTCTTTTTGGAAATCCATATACGCTACATCAAAATATTGTTATTTGTGAGCAAAAAAAACACGATTTTTCTTATTTTGAAAAAAAAAAGTCTTTTGGAGGTCGCGCTAGTCGGTTTTTTATAAAAACGCTGCTGTTTTCAATTTCTTTACTTTCGTGACATGTTAAAGTGCAGCTAAAAATGTTGGTTTTGCATGTAATTACTCAGGTATTATTGGGGAAATGCCGCGCGTAATTCAACATTCTCATTTTCTATATCATACAACAAAAGTTCTGAACAATTTGATTTTTTTTTTTTTTTAATTTTATGTGATTTATCATGATAATTTCTATGAAATACGATGCAAAAAAATGTGCCGTACAACGTTTCTCTCATATTTTTTTTATATAATATATGACATTAGGGTGGTATGTGCACAAGAAATGGAAAAGAAATTTCTTCTATTAAAATTTCACAAATCAGTCTGCAGCTATCAAGGAAAAATGCTAGAATATTTAGCTGCAAACAATCATTTAAAGTAAAAAAGGGAATAAGTGACCTTCTATTTTTTTCCTACAATTTTATGCTTCTTTTATTAATGCAAAATATTTTAATTTGTTAAATTACATATTGCGAATTTATTTTGTACAATTTTTAAATAAGCAAAAATTTATGTGTACTGCAAAAGCTACGTTTAACTGGTATTGCAAAGTGACACTCTCTGTGCTACCTTTTCACAGTTCACAGCCAGGCAATAAAAAAAAACTCTTATAAAGCCCCTGGAAATGTATGCATATATAAATACTTCATTAAGAGATATTGCTAATTTTTACACTAGGGATATCACCCTACTGACTTACTGTACACACACATTAGGGTAGTCCTTAAAAATATCATCATCTAAATTTTGATCTACATATGTTCTTAAATTCAAAATTCTTCACAAAAAAATAAAATATTCACGAAAACTTTCAAATAATTTTGAGGGGACGCCACCAGGGTTTAAACAATTTCAATCTGATAACTTGACATATCATTGAAAACTATCCATACAAATTAGTTGCGATCCCGTACGAGTCCGGACTAGTCAGTATTAGTCGGATTTTACTGGAAATCGATCCCGTACTCGGTTCTCTGACAATTGAGAGGGCAAAAAAGAGTCCTCTCTCTGTCAGAAGCTACCAGTTTTAGTCCGAAGATTTTTTAAATGTGTCAAACGATCAGCTATAGTGTATTTGACAACGAAATTGTAAACAAAACAAAAGTGCACTCTGCTAATGCATGTTGAAAATTATTTAATTACTTGTTTAAGTGGATTCTAATGAATTTGAAAGTATTTTTGGTTATTTATAAGTGTGAGTTAGTGTGTTTACATACAAAATAAGCAAAAATTTACAACCAAAATTTGGAGGTTATGTTGAAGTGGTCAGAAGTTACCATTTTTTGATTTATTTTGGAACGAATTTCCGTCATCCCATGTCAAGTTTGGTTTGCAGACAAACCGGTTTCGGCGTTGTGCCATCTTCAGTGTCATTTTTCGTTCATTTTTTTATTAGAAAGCGATCCCGTACTTTTCAGTATTACTTTCTCGCTCTGAGCGAATTTTTATTTTTTGAAAGTTTTACTAGTTTTAGTCCGGGGAATACCAGATCGGACCTATTCATTGTCATCGCCAAATGAATTCATTACTGGCATCTGCTTTAGTTTTTTTTCGGAATAAGTGCAGCATTTTTGTTTTTTAAGTTCTACAACAATGGTTTACAAATAATTATCTCGAAAGAATACCAAGAAACTCATGCGTAGGGGAATATTAGTATGAACTTCCTGAGCTCAAAACGCTGTTTTATTTTTTAATTCGGGCAGTTATTCAGATAATGGTATCTTTGTGTGTTTTCGGGGTATGATTTCATTTATGACTAAACTGACAAGACCGATCTATACCGAGCATAGTGTTGCCAGATTTTTTTCCAGCCATACGGGACAAACGTATAATTGGTCCAAATATACGGAATTTACACAAGTTTAACGGTACAAATGGGAAATAAAGGATTTGCTTTAAAAGCTTAACTACAAACCATGTATTAACAAAGGTGATACAATTAATTGTGGATAAATTTCGTTTATTTCATGACAACCCTTTTTAATTTATACAAAAATATGTACTTGCTGAGTTATAGCGGGTCAAAATAAATAAAAATAATTTTTTTTTAAAACGCTGGTAGCGACCACTAGTTATTTAATTTATTTTCTTTTGAAAATGTTGTGGATGTTTTTATTTTGTGCGTAGAACAAAAAAGGGGTGCCTCGCACATAATTTAAATAATGATATTTTTAAGGACAACCCTGGTATACATACAAATCACACGTTCGCACTTCCATACAACAAGATTTGCTTCCACTATATATATGAGGGATTCACAACGGTGTCGTAAGTGTCTTATTGTTGTAATTCGTAAACTTTAAAAGCATAAATGAATGTTAAGAGAACTTAAAACCACAACCAACTGTTTTTTAACACTGCGAAAATTCGTAATATGACTTTAACCCCCTTAATATATTTTTTTAGGCGTTTAACGTTTACGACATACAACAATACGACACTTACGACACCGTTGTGAATACCCCAATAGTATATATAAATGTAGGACATGTAATTATATTATAAAAAATTAAAACTGTTATTTCGTGAGCACACTTACCTTAAAATCAATATAACCATTTTTGTCCATGTCGAAGGTGCGAAAAACGTGATCACAAAACTCCTCGGCATTTCCAGATGGGAAGAACATTTTGTACATGTCCACGAATTTGGCCGGCGTCAAACGGCCATTGGGACAGTCTTGCTGTAGGCGACAACGATGACGACGACAACCCACCAAAAAATCCGAAAGAAAGCATACGAAAGAAATTGAGGTTTAGCAGGTCGGTCGATGGTTTGTTGTTGGGTAGATAAATAGGTGGAAGAGGTGAAGATGTTGGTGGAGAAAGTATGCATTGCGTGCAGATGATGATGTTGTTTCACGCATCGTTGTTGTTGTGTTTTTTGTTGTTGATTTGCATTATTTGCACATAGCCATGCAAACATAGGTATGCACATAAAGGATGATATCCATATACGTACATATAAAGGCGTACATATATGTATTTTGTGGCGCATTAGTTTTTGTTGTGTAAAGAGGAAAAAATTTAATATGCAGTTACCTTGAATCCTTTATACCATTCCTTAATTGTGGCTTCATCGTAGCGTGTATGAGATTTCAAAAATTCCATATCCTCTTTTGTCAGACGGTCTTTACTACTTAAGCACCCCATTTTTCCGAGCTAATTAAAAAGTATTATAGGTATATTGTATTTTTTCACTGTTTTTTTTATAAGTTGTGGTTTTTGTTGTTTTATTTATTTATTATTTATTGCTCGAGCACAAATATTGTTGTGTGGTTTTATTTTAGTAGATTTTTTTTTTCGTTTCCTATAGATGTAGTATGTGATAATTTTTTGTGAGTTTAACTGTAGGCGGAGCGGCTTAACGGTGTGGAAAATACATAAATCTAGTATGCGATGTGTGTAAGTGTGTGGATAAAACCGTCTCCGCTAAGTTAGTGCAAAATTACTAAGCGTTGTTAAGAAGCTGGTGTTGCTGGCGCTTCGGCTGTTGCTGCTGCTGCTGCTGCTGCTGCTCGGCTGATAGTTTCACGCTTGCTTTTACAGGCTTAAAGCTTTTAGCTTTTTTTACTATTTAAATTGTGCTTTGCTATTTTGTATATAGCTTTTTTAATTTTTAATATTTTTTTTCTTTTTGCTTTTTTGTCGTTCTAACTTTTTACACACCGCAAGCAAACTTCTATGCTTCTACTAAACTACACTTAATCGAAAATGGATTTGTTTCATTCAACTTCATAAAAATGCATTCTTTTAAAATCGATAATATTCTTTCTTCTATGTAGGCTATTGCATTTTGTATTTCCAAGGAATTGAATCAAAGCAACAATTCGTAATCGCTCCAACGATACGTAAATCGATTCATTTCTATCCGAATGGAGCAGAAAATTTGAGAAAAATGTTAATTAAATTTCTCTTTTCAATGCAGATTATTTGTGCTTGATTTTTTGGAGTTTTCTTTTTCCGCTCGAATCTTCAACTGTAACTAATATTTCCGTTTTGCTTCGCTTTTTCTACTCATCTAGTAAATTTTTTTTTATTTATATGATTGTATACAGTTAATATTTTTTGAAAATCTATGTTGTGTATTGTATGAAAGTCACTGCTACTAACAAAATGCAATAACCAGGCTCTAGGAGCGAACGATACAAAAGGACAGACTTTTTCGAGTTCGATAGTTAGTGTACATGCGCAGTAGGCAGGTCCTTTGAATGTAGACACTGGCTCACTCGCTCGTTGGCCGACTAGCTGGTTGGCTGAAGGTTTCATTTTCAAATAAACTTCCGCGAATATGCTCACTTAAGTGTACACGAACACACAAACACACACGCATGCAATGCATAGACACTGAGACGATGTGTGTTGGCTGTTTTCTTTAGTACATACCTTATAGGAAAATGATGAATTAGGGGAAAAGTTACTAGTTAAAAACTAGTGCTATATCGGCAAGCAATACACAGTAGAACGGTTGGCAGGAAGCATAAGAAAACTATTTTTCCGTCAAACCTACCTACATACATAAATCTTTTCGTGAAAAAATTTGCGCCAATGGCCAACCAAGCCACCATTGTGGCTCCGAGGAGGCAATTTAGAAAGGATAACTACAGTCATATTTTTTGCTATATTTTCAATACAATTAATCATTATAGCTTTCGATAATATTTTCATCGACATCCCTAATTTTCTAGATGGCACCTTTCTACATTAATTTAACGATATACATATTAGAGGTCTGCTTGAATTCATTCAAACTTCTAGCCAAATAGAGTGCAGCAGATTTGAATATTCTACTTCACATACAAAGCACTCAGCGTTTGGAATTTTGTAAGTTATAAATATATACATTTTGTTTTAAATTTTCTCAGGGACCGAAAATAACAGTTATTTTTTTTTTTTTTAATTCACCTTGGCCAAATATTTTTAGGTTTGAAATAAAAGTAATTTCCTCATAATAAACAAACCGCTTATCCAAATTAAACAAATTTGGTATCAAATGAAAGTGGACGGAAATAGCTTTTAAACAGAAATAACGAACGAAGGTTACCACCTCTATTTATATATATATATTTTTTTTTTCATAATTTAATACAAAATAAATTCATATACCTGACCCAAGGTTTGTTCTATGGTAATTAAATAACATTTTTTATTGAAATATTTTTCAATAGATGGCTTTCCTCGTTTATACATTTCATTTAAAGCTATTTTAGTCCTCTTTCATTTGATACCAAACTTGTTTAATTTGGATAAGCGGTTTGTTAATTATCAGGTAATGATTTTATATAAATATTTGGCCAAGGTGACTTAAAAAAAATATAACTGTTAGTTTCGGTCCCTGAATTTTCTACCTTCAAATGGAAAAATGTGAATGAATGAATGAAGGAATGAAACCCATTCAAATCATTCAAACTCATTTCGGTTATAGTTTTTTTTTTAAAAACAAATTTGTTCGTATTGTAATAGGAGCACAGCAATACGTACATAAGTATGTAGATAGAACAAATATTTTTGGATATTCATATAAAAAATTGTCATTTATTTTAATTTAATGTATTTTCACGTTGTTTGAATATTGTTGTGTCAACACACATATCGGAACAGGTATTCACTCAAATTCAAAAAAAAATCATTCATTCGTTTTGTATATGAATAATTCATAAGCCGTTTTGAATGAAATCATGCAGCCCTCTAACACATATGTATTCATTTTAAACTTTACTATTGTAAGGATTCTACGCACATTTATCGATATTGTCGTTGACCGTTAAAATTTAATTTTTATTTTTCCGATCTAATTTAACCGTTTTGTATGACTTTACTTTTTTCGAACACGAATAATCGTTGTTTCTGGATTTCTATTCTTTCGACCAATTTTTGAATGATAGTTTTGATTTTTTTTTTCGATAATATTATAAACGCTATTTTCAGATTTAATTTTTTATATCATAAAAGATTTAAAATTATGGAAAAAAATAAAAATCCAAATTAACGATAATTTTTTATCTGAAAAATAAAAATAAAAAAATTAACGATTTGACAAAGATCTAAAATTAAAAATCGTGATATTTAAAGGTTATTTTCGTTCCCTGGTATTAAGCGTTGCCGCAGTCGATCGATATTTTCATTCATATAGTTTTCAATCGACATTGTTATCAATAGTTTGCAGCATTTATCGATATCGTCTCAGATACACAAACATATAAATTAATCGATGTTCTTGTCAAAGTTTTATCGATATTATTATCAATATTCAAAGATATACAGTGTTCACTACATTAATAAATATACATAGCTATCGATATATGTACATACCAATCGTAATGACTGTCTATGTACATACATACGTATTAATCGATTTACTTTCCAATTTTTATCTACATTTTTATTTTATGCCGCATATATGTATTCAATAATCGCTATTGTTATCAAAATCATTTTGACAAAGAAATATTTTCTACCGTAGTAAAACATTTGATAGGGAGATGTATGAAATACTTATGGACAATGGTGGTGGTTATTTGAAAAAGAGGTGCGACTAGGGATGCAAACGATGTATCGATATTAGCTATATCGATGATCTTTTTGGTCGATATTTATATTTTTATCGCGATGTTTTGAAAACCGATATATCGATATCGACGATATTTTTTTCGATACTACAAACTATTTGTTTCCTGAGGATCTGGCTATTTGTGATGTATTAAAGTTTACGTTTAAACAAACTCGTTTTTTGTTTGAATTATTTTATTTTAACATTTACAGAATTAAGAGGTGACAAGGTGTCTAGTCCATTTTTTTAGTTTCGCATTATCTGTCAGTCTGCATCAAAAACTTAGTTTTGTAAAAAGCGGACTTGGCACCACCTTTTCGCCTTTATATTTGTACATAGCAATTTATATACATTATGTAAATGAAAATATCCTAAAAAAATCTTAAACCGATATTCAACATCGATATAATATAGATATTTTCCGGTCGATATATCGACCAGCCGACATTTTTTTGGTTAACATCGATATCACCCATATCGATGATTATATGAGCGATATTGCATCCCAAGCTGCGATGTCTCTCACAAATACTGACACTTTTATAATGCATATTTTTTAAACGGTTCTTGGTAAATCTCTGGTAGTATTTTAGATAGGGTAGTGGAATTTCTTATGAAGATTTAACAAATTTCGGAGTTAATGGAAAAGGAGCGTGGCAACTAAGATATGATCTAAAATTCTCACGATGCATAACTCTGGAAGAATTTAATGTTAATTGGATTATGTAAAGTTGGAAATATTTAAAGGAGGGCGTGGCACCTCCCGGAAATATACAGGTTCATGCGGTGGATCTCTGGGACCACTTTATGCTTAGAGGGATTGGTATCTTTAATGTTATCATAACAAAGTCTACAGTGGAGACAAGATTATATAGTTTCATAATTTTAAACGCCCCAAATACATTAACTCGCTTGGAAAAATTATACAGCTATAGTTAAATGAGAGCAGAAAAATAATAAAACATTTTAAAATTATTTGGCATATTTGTATAAAAACGTGGGGTAAAACCAGCGGGAGTATTTAGCCTAGTATTCAATAAAACTCACTCCAAACTATGTTAAACGGAAAAGTGCAGCTATACAAAATGTAACTGAAATCGGAATTTTCATACGAAATCCTGCTGTCCTGCTTACTAGATATTCCATTATTGATTTGTTGAAATTTGGCCAGATTTGATTTGTTTATAGCCAGACTGGACGTACATACATACATATATGTATGTGTATAAAAGAACTACTCACAAATTCACTGATAAACCAACAGTTGAAAAGCAATGGATTTCCTACAGGCTCCACTAACTTATTCAGGTTAATGTAAGTACTAGACCACCAAATACAGGCATATGTATATGTAAAGTCACACACATTTACATATGTAAATATATACATACACGCATATAAATCCATGCGTCTACTTTATATGATATAGGGTTACCATTGCAATTGTTCGAAGGACATGGTACCTATATACATATGTACGTACTAAATAGCAAAGTGTATGGTAGGATGTGCTCTCTAAAAGTCTAAAAGTCTACAATACATTCAACAGTTAATTTTGACGCATTGACTTACATGTGAAAGAAACAACAGTACGTCAATGTGTTATATATTTATCAGCATAGTCGTGTTCGGCTATATGAATGTTTTATGTATGTATTTAGTAGTGATTCAGATGCCCAGATTGTTCTGATTCAAAAGAGAAATTGTTCTAACAGAGAATAACTAGCTGCGAAGGCAGTTCCGACGAGATAAGTTGAAAATGTGATTTCCGAAAGGTGTTGGTTACAATTTAAAGAAGATGTTAATATTCAAATCAAAAAGAGTGGCAATGTTGTACGAAGAGGGGCTAAGTCAAAAGCAAAAGTAACTTGCGGGAGCTGATTATGTCACATTTAAAAATTACTGATGTAACTTAGTTCATGTCCGTGCTATGATATCAATTTCAATAAATGAGTATAACGATACATTTGGACATAGTAACCATAATTAAATCGCTAAATTTGTTTGTCGATAAAAATATCAATGCATATGTTGAACACCTGGCCAGATACATAGCTCGATAACAATATCGATTTTTGAAACAAAATAATGTCATCGATAGAAGTATCGATAAATATATTGAACGCGATGTTGTTAATTATGGCATATAGGTACTTACGTATCAGCAATGATACCGATACAAAATTCGATAACTGTTTCAATAGTTTGCCTTCTTGTAACAGAATGATACAAAAGGAATGCAATTTTGTACAGTAACCCAAAACAAAATTTTCTATGTTCGTTTTAAAGCTACTTAGACAATCCTATCATAGGCAAGCCACTTTAAAGGCATAGACAGACGGCAGAGTTCTAATCCGGATCAACTCGAAATTATCTCGGGAAATAATGGCAGTTGATCCGGCTTAAGTTCCAGAGCTAATTCATAAACTGAATGAGGATCAGGCGCAAGGTGATAACTGATCAGCACCGCCAGCTATTTTCTATTGTGAATGAAATAGTCGAGTAGTGAGAGTTACGCACTACGATTCGGTAGAGCCCAGATTGGATCCCAATTACGACCAGTTTTCAGAAAAAAAACAACTTTATTTTTTTACTTTTCTACTTTAATTTTATTTATGTACAT